AAAGATTACTAAAAAAATATATTTAATCAATTTACGAAACTACTTGAAATACATGATGTTTTTTTTAGATAAAGAGAGAGGCCTATCCGGCAACCATATAGTTATGGCTTTGATAAAGGGTATTCACATGCAATCCATCCTAAAGAAACGCTCTACGTTAGTGTTAATAGAACATTGCTATATTTCATAATCAAGAACAATTGCGGTAGACAGCTCCTCTGTGCACAATTATGGGGTCATTTGCATTCAAAAGGCTACTTGTTCACGTTAAAGAATATCCTTTAATGGCGGAAAATTTAACCTGTCTAATAGAAAACACCTATTTTCATTGTTAAAAATAACTCATAATATATATAAATTATTATAAATTAAATTCGAGTATACATTTATGTATCTTTTGCATATGACGCGTTGGTGTTATATGATATCTATAGTTATTTGCACTGATGCTTACGATTCCTTTTACAACTGACGCGACAGACAGGAAGCACAAGCAACGTAAATAGAAAAAAATAACAAAATTGAGATAATTGTACGAGCATCATCCAATGAACTTCGGTTCAAACGTTTCACGGCAATACATACCATTATTTGCTCTAATAAATAAATATAAGAAAATCTAATCTCTAATTACTTTAATGATAAACAAAAACTATATGTAAGTACCTACCTATCTTTCATATTCATAGTCGAATGAGAAACGGGTATTATTTTTTTATCAACTAAATCACAAACAGTCAAAATTTATTCATTACCATATTGCCACTATGTTTTATACGTAATAAAAAACAATAGCTCTTTATTTATAACATTTTTTATGAGATGACGTAAACGCAGTGTTTATGAAATGTAAATAACACCTTAAATCCTATAACTTTAATATAACATCTTTTACATAGCATTAATATAAATAAGTAAATGGATATAATAATTTTAAAATAATAAAAAATTGATAGAGAGAAAAAAATTAAATACAGATAATTTATTACTTATATTGTCTGTATTATATATACCTACAATTCGTAAGATTCCGCATCAGCCAGGACAAAGTTAGTATAGGACCTAAGAATAATATTATTATTGACTTAGGAATAACAATACGGTCATTCCTACTCGTACTATGAAACCGATATTATAGTAATCCTTATCAATTAAAGAATATAAAAATCGATTCAGATACTCGCGTACGTAGACTTTATACGACTATATTACAATCAAACCCTAAAGCATCGGAATGAGAACTTTCTTTTTGAAATCGATTTAGTGTGACTGTCTCAGAAGCAATGTACTAAAATCTGCTCTAAATAGCAGTGACACATGGACTTTACCCAGTTGTATGTTGTACACTGTTATAAATGCGATGCTAATAATGTGATGTGATGTTACAACCGCGAGTCTAATTGCCGCGTCTTCAGGCCTGGGTACAACTACCAAACCGATTTAGATGACAATTGCGATACCGCAGACAAATATAATGGGAACAGTGAAGTCATTGTGTTATGAGGGAGACATCTCTATAGTTTGTTGCTGTAGTCAGGTAAAAATTTACGATCCCACGTTTTTACCTGGATTGTACAATTGCAAGTAACAGAAACCATGGTTTGCCATCTCTTATAATTACTGTCTAGTAATTGGAATGTGTATCTACATGTATGTAAACAGATACCTGGCAAATCAAATTTTATAGAAAAATAAGAAGAATATTTTTGTGATACCCACTAAACTACCAAAATTATACTATAAATATTTTTATTCAATCATTAACTAAAGCAACAATAGTATGTGTATTAGCAAGTCAGGCAGGCAGGATACGTATTCATTATCTAATCTTTATTGCAAGTCTAAAATTAAGAATAAACTAATGATAGTATTAAGTAGGATTGTGTTTACTTTGTATTAATCACTAGTTACAACACAAAATAGAAAATTTTGTATACGCAATCGAGCATAAAGAGAAACAATCAATGATAAAGAGGATTTTTAATTCGCTATATCGAAATGAATTAGTGTCTTCTTCGATAAAAACAAACACAACAGTTCCATTATTATGAGATTATATTTAATTTTCGATATTATAATCAAAGTAACCTTCAAAATAACTCAAAACACGTGTAACTTAGTAGGGTCAAAATAACTTTGCAATGTCCTATGAATGAAATTGGCTTTTGACTTAGGTATGTCAAAAGTTATAGCCACTAAGTCCAGGTGATACTTCCTTATACAAATATTTTACAGATTGCCAAACGAACAACTTCTTAAGGAATTGTTTGACATGGTGCCAATCAATCATGGTCAATCACTTTATTGCCAGGGAATGCACCCTAAAACCTTATGGTTGCATACAGCACGAATTACATACATCCGCAATCATAAGTATTATATATGTATCATAAGTATCTATATATCTATTTGTTATTGTGTCGGCGTTACCCTTATACGAAATTTGACGTGAGACTAATCTATTATCTCAAAAATTAATCTAAAAGGAGGTTAAATAAGGAATGAAAGTTTATGCGGACAATATTGTGGGTGGGTAATGACTAGTAAACATAAAATATACGTGTAACCAGTTCCTTGGAATATCCAAATTGTGGAAAAAAACTTCCTGCCATAAAAACTACAGACTACAATAAACGTTACTGTTACTCTATCTACGGGACTTAGAGGGTACACGCCCCTAATGTCCGCATTGTCGGCGTCCGTACAGTAACGGTTTACACAGATGAACCATATGCTAGATCCCCGCCAGCATTGTAGTATAAAAAACTACAATAGAATTTATTTATATTACTTTATAGATTATAATTTTTATGATTTATGGAGGTTTTATGTGTAGATATGTAGCTATTTGTTATTGTTGTGTTAGTGTAGTATAATTCATTTCAGCGTTTTTATTAAAAGGATAAGATTAGTATTTAGGTAACCAACAATAAAAAATGAGGTTCTCAATTCATTTGGATAAGAATCTAATTAGCGATAATTTTTACATTTACGTAATTCGGTACAGTTTTAAAATAGTTTCAGCTTAACTCGAATTTAATATGGACATTGAACTTTGAAAACATTCAACGGAACTCCTAAATGACGAATAGCATGAATGCATAAAGGTGTAAATTAAATCACTTATGTCACCTTACCGTACCGTAAGTAAGTTACTATTGAAATAAAGAGAAATACATTAACAATTTGCAATTGTATCGACTATGATAAGTACTATATTAATTTACGACGAAAGTCGGTTATGTTTTATTTTCAAAACTAAATTATTACACAAAATAATTAAAAGTGTCTATGGTAACATTGAAATTTAAAAAATCATATGTAGGTAATTCATATGCTGCCAAATAAACACTGCAGCATCAGCCGCAACCTTCGAATAGTATAGGGACTATTTATAATTTCATATGGACAACAAGCGCATACGTAGGTACATCTAATTTAAAGCAAATCGACCTTTGTACCAAGTCGGAACTAATGACGTGCAATCAACGACCATGTCATGGTACACTACACTGTATTCCATTTGTTATTTTAACAAACAATCTAGGTAGGCACTTTAAAATGTTTTCCCGCCATTGTTCAAATCGCCTAATGACATTTTATATATTTTTATCCTGTCAACTTACTCATTAATTTATAAATCTACAAAAAAATCTACAGAATCAAATTATAAATCTGAAGTATTTTCATATAGGCTACAAAAATATCTAAATAAGTAAAAAATTTATACATGAAATGTCGGTTGATATATTGACAGGAAATCAATTATTTATCGATTTTCTGAATAAAAAGAATCCTTAGCCTGTATTAAAAAATATTTATTCCTTTTTCAAAAACAACCTATCAATCCAAAATGAATCAATAGGTATCTTATATATAAAATTCTCGTCTCACAGTTTTCGTTCCCATACTCCTACGAAACGGCTTGACCGATTCTCATGAAATTTTGTGAGCGTATTGAGTAGGTCTGAGAATCGGCCAACATTTATTTTTCATCCCCCTAAATGTTAGGGGTAGTCCACCCTTAATTTTTTTTTATTTTAAGGCAAAACAAACGTTTGGAGGGACAGCTAGTAAGTATTTGATAATAGGTATAAGTATAATAAAATTTATTAGGAAAAAAATACGTACTTTAATTTGATCAATGTATTAATTTATATCTGAATAGGTATTTATTTATCTGAATAAAAAAATAAAGAATCATTAAACTGAATTCTTAGATATCTTTATACGTATAATTAGAAAACATCGCGAAACCTTTTACACGGTTACAGATTAATAATGTATTTTTTATTTTAGATAGAACAATACTTACATAATTTCAATTCATAGAATATTACAATATTTATAACACTTAATAGACAAAAAATATTTTTTTATCGCAAGACAATATTAACATAAATCGATTACTTGTGTTGAAAAAAAAAATTATAGATTATGGGCAGTGGAAAAAGGTAGTGAAAACATATTTAAAAAAGAACTTGGAGTAATTAACTGTGTATTCTATTCAAAATAATCATTATAAATAAATTATTTATTAATTGAAGATGTTGAGAAGAAACGCTATTTGTAATATAATATACGGATTTCATTTGATACTTTGCCATGAATTTTTGTGAATTAAATCAAAAATTACGAAAACAAAATAATGGAGGTAGGTAAACTTCCGGAATTATCTTTTTAATTATAACGATTGTTTCTGTAGAACGAAGTGGAATTATTTTACTACTAGAAATTACTTTGGTATGTAAACTTATTAACTATTATTTTCTAAGCCCGCAGATAAATGGTTAGATACCTACTCATTTTGTAAAAATAAATTTGTCTCTGCAAAATTTAAATCATTTACATATTTTATAATTTTTATTCAATATAAATATAATAGTAAATGTTAAGACAAAATTATACGAACTCCGCAAACGGGTACTTTTAGATGATTTGATATTGTTAGATAATATGTCATAAAAAACGGTATAAAACATACGGTACAAAAAACTTACCACTGCCGGCTTGTCTGCCCATAATGCAATGTCTTCAAACACAAATTCAGTTACAGTTTCCTTTCCAACTTGAATGTCACCCCAAGGCGATGTTAAATATTTATTGTCTACATTGGGTGCTGTTTGAGTAGCGAAATTTCTACCAAAATCTTCACCATGCTGCGATAGCACTATGTTTGTCCGTAGTTTGTTCGTATTTTTTTTACATGGCGAAAAAAATAATTGACGCGCGAAATTCCCGCGCAAAACTTTTAAATGTGACATCCTCCCAAAGCCGTTCGCTTACAATGTTTATCCGCGGAAGGTCTGCGCGTGAATGTATCGTATTCGACGAGTCCCATACAAGTTTTGGCGCGCTCACTCGCCTCAAACGTCGGGCAAAGTCCAACCGCTAACAAACTTTACTATTTTGTTTGTAAAAGATTCACTCCACTTGATATCAATTAGGTAGGCACGAGAGACAAACAATAGTTAACATCTATCACAACAAGTGTACCTATAACTTGTTATTGTCTATTTAGAATTCACATGCAGACACTTTACAAAGAGGTAGGTATAAATTGAAAAGCTAGCTACAATTTTTTTTTCTGTATAAGAACTTGCATATCTTGTACCTACCTAAAAACAGGCGACACAACCTAATTAGAGTGACGTACGGCGCTTACGTCTACTTGTTAAGGTTTCAGGTTCTTTTCGGTCGGCTCAACTTACGAAATCATGCCATTAAAATAAAGCAATTAGATATAATAAATTAATAAAATAATAATAATTCTGTATAATTCACACAAGGTCACCTAGTCCCAAGCTAACCAGAGCTTGTTTTGAGTACTATTCAATTAATAGAAATACTACAGTATTTTTTCTTTAAATTATTTATATTGTGTATTTGAACAAGTTTAAGTATTTCTATCAATCTTTAGTAGCCATAATACAAGCTCTGCTTAACTTGGGACTAAACGACGACGTGTGAATTATCCAGAATAATTATTATTGTATTAATTTATTATAATTGCTTTACAATACACATAAAATAGCAACACAATTTTGAAAACAATCATACTCATGAATACAAATGTTTGTACGTCCGAGGACTCGAGCTCGCGACCTATTAAGTATTAAAAGGGTACCTACTCCATCTTAATAAACCGCTAGACAACTGAGGTCGTAGTATCTTTACTTTCTTATTTATCTGTAATAAAAATAATTGAAAGTAAATACAATCAGAGTTAGTACCTATACGAAACTAAAAACTACCGCATTTGCTGAAAAAAAGGTAAATTTTTTCAGGTTTTGATTATTGAATGCACCTGGTAAACTGTTTACGTCAGTAGTTTAGTATCTAGATATATATGTCTACTAAAATTTAGTTAATAAAAATTCATTTACTACATATAGTACGAATTTTTATTAGCGAACGTTTCACGGTGGAGGCATACCTCCAAATGAAATGATATGTAAGCAGATCTGGACCCAGAGAAACGCATCAGTTAATCGAATAAACATTCCATCACACGAATGAAATACAAATATTGGATTAATAATAGAGAACTATTATTTCATCTGTAATAGTGATATTTAGATTAGGAGAATAGATCATGCAACCTACTATTGTGTGCAATGACACACCTAGAATCTACATTCTACTACATTCAGTCGCTGCATGCATTGTTAAAACCAAAAAATCGAGCACTCAATAAGACCTGTATATATCGTACAAGTACGTAAAATAGCATGTATTACTCGTAGCAACAGTTTACGAACCGGTTTAACAAAGGTGTGGGTGGAAACCCTGCGCACTTCGAATTTAATCTTTCATTTCCGTGTTCATATCTCGCTGCAGTCTACCGTACCCAATGACAATATAAAGAAACAAAAACGACTCTTTATGTCGGTCCCCAGATACCGTTAAGGTTACAGATGCACCGAAAAAGGCATATTGGGTTATATCCAAGCGCTTTCCAAATGATGTTGGCCCACAAAATTGGCCAGACGAAATTGTCTCAGAGAAATTGTACTTATGTGTATTGCGTACAGTAGTCTAGTGTTGCTCAAAATCTTATAACTGGAGAAAGGTGACATATCCATGCATGCATAATAAGATTATTAATAATAATAATAAATACTCAGCACTCTTACCTACATTATACCTAAATTACCTACAGACATGTAATATATATTGTGTATAAAAGTTCTTTATATTAGTTCTTGTAATGACTAAATTTTGCCAAAATAAAGTAAAATCGTTAATAACTCGAACACCTCTATTTATTCCCAAACTCCAACTCGAATGAACTTGTGTATAAATATTTGAATTTTTTTTTAATACGTAGCTGCTTATAAAAACTCTCAAACAAATACTAACAGTCATATTTATGAATACCTTTTTTTATCTTACGGAGCTCGAACCCGCGTCCATCAAGTGTACTAAACTACTACCACACCACAGAATACCAAGTTGCGCAACGTCTGCATATTTGTCAATTTCCAAAAATAATTACACAATCAATAATGTTTATTGACCATTACTTAATAATGCAGCCAGTTTTAAACACGTTTTGTTCATCATTTCTTAATTGTCTGTGGCATTTATATTCTATAATTAATAGACTTTTAAAGTAACAATGGAATTTATTGGTTTGACACAACAAAAATAAATAACGCCTGCATTACAATATGCTATATAAATCTGAATGTAAATTGTTTAAATTTACAGCACGATTTTACAATAAAATATTATTTAACATATCAATATAAATTTGTACATTTTTTAATTGTCCTGTCACATCATAATCAGTAGGGGTAGATACAGAACCATTGTATAATCGTTAATTGCATATTAAATACATATTATTACTTACTTATTTAGGATGAACCTTCATTTGTAGTTCAATAACCGAAATATCTTGTTGATATTGTTACATAAATATACATATTTACTATCTAGACGGTCGCATTACAACTACTTTAGAGAGTAACTCTGGAACTGGGCTCCTATGCAGTAGGTTTGATTACGCGAGAAAGGGCAGTGTCATGTGCTATGGAAGAATGTATTAACATATAACACATATAATAACATTTAAAGCCTAGAGTTTGGTTAGTTTAATGCCCTAATCTCAGGAAGTACGGGCTCGATATGAAAAAAATCATTTAGTATTGGATATATGCCCATATGGAGAAAGGTAAATGCTATATAACATCACCAAAGGAGAGAAATTTTAATAAGAAATGTTGCAAAAAGAAAACGGGTGAAATTTATCCCTACGTATAAGCTACGTATGGCTCGCAGTTCAGCAAGGCACAGGTTTTGGTATACATTATTATATATATATTTACATGAGGGATCATAAACGATGCAGTTGCGTGTTGCACAGGTATAAGCCTCCACGAGCCTGCGCTTGAACCACGAATTATTTCATTTAAGAGAAAATTAGAGTAATTATTTTAGCGTCATGTATTTCCATAAAATTCTGTATGAACTATTTTAGGTACTATTGCTAATCTAAAAACTATAGTATGTTATAAAATATGCGATTATTTACAAATATATATAACAACATTTTATTTCATGTATTTTATTCATTTAATGTTAAATGAACGTAAACATGTTTAAAAGTTGTATATTAACATGAACTATAAAATGGGTTGGGACGACTAAAATAAATATGGGCGTATATTCTCCAAATGATATGCATAAACAATCCGTTACAACTTTTATTAGAAGTCGATGGATAAGGAAAATAATACTGTGCCGACCCCTAATGATGTAAGAAAGGTAGGGCGATGGATGGAACATCAAAACCTTATTTATTGGCCCCTGATATAAAGTTTGCACACGTTTCAAAGTCAGAACCATATTTCTGTGCAGTTTCATACAGTATTATGTTTATATAATAAATTATGAAATATTTGTTGAACCATAAGTATTTATATACCAATATAAACCATAATATAAATATTTATTAGTCTTATGCTTAATGTCGACCTTAGTGAAGATCATCAAACTCTGCATCGCTGCCCTTGAACCTTGCACTTCTATTAGAGAACACATTTTCCTTGATATTTTGAAAGGCTTCATCTAAATATTTATCGAGGTAAAAATTATCTATGAAAATAAAAACAATAAAATTCCTTTATAGGTTTCACCTAATCTGTCAGCAACTACAATATATAATTTAATAATTATATATAAGTTTATTATTGTAAATTTAAATTCGATTTTTAAAATAAAAAAAAGAAACAATTTTCTCATAAAAAAAAGCTTAAAACCCATTTTACTACTACATTTTTAATCTGTTGTCTATGACTATTATTTTATGTTATTAAACCGATAAGATAAACGTATTTCTATCGATAAGTGACTATCAAACGTAACATGAACAATAAATGATAATATATCTTTTATAATCGGCTGTGACAGCGAATTTCGGCTTGTGAGTGATCTAAGTACCCCCACCGCTTCATTCCTAGTACCTAATCTACCTATTCATAATTCATATAACGGTATATTTCACAATTATATCGTTATTAAAATTCTGACCAAACATTAAGAAGCATTTTCTATTGAGGGCATAATTTTCACGTTTTCTGTTATCGGGCAAAAGTGCCATTAAATGTCTCTAGAACTATACGGAAGACCAAGAGCTACATAATAATTATAATCAAAACTATAATTATCATACAACTCTATGCTATATAAATCATATCAATATTTAACAATACATTTATGAAAATTACTATTTCAATATTTAAAGCGAATCTTTGTAATATTGATAAAATATAATATTTGTTCGTATAGTTTTGCGTGCACATATAATAGCCGCTTTATGCTACACAAATTACAGCTTCTGACATACCAGTCATAGTTGATAATTACATGTAATAAAATAAAGGCATAACAAAATACTTGTTGAAACATTGTAAACATAAAACTACAGGCATAAATACCGCAATAAATTAAAACGTACAATAAATATGGAAATACATCAAGTAGGTAATGATTACAATTTAGTCAACCACATCAATTCTGATAAGATCAGATCATTGTTATTTAATAACAGGAACCGGTTATTCTTTTTTAATTGAAACCTACACCATTATTTGGTACTTTATTTTTTTTTACATACATTAAAATCTATACTAGATACAAACAAAACATTCACCAATTATTTATCTATGTATATATACAACCTGTTTTGTGTCAAATTTAAAATAAATTAGTTTAAGTATCGACTACGTTTTTTGTGAATCCCGTTTCTCTCTGCATTTGGAGGCGAAAGTCTGATGGGTCATAAGATCTCTAAAGAAACCATCCTGTTTTGCCATCAGTTCCACATATGGACCTCTTTCTATTACCGCACCATTTTCTAGCACGGCTACTTCATCGGCCGACTGTATAGTGCTCAGCCGGTGTGCGATAGTCAGAACTGTTCGATCCCGACTGATCTCTTTGAGAGCTTTATCGACTAGGAATTCAGAATATGCATCTAATGCTGAGGTAGCTTCGTCGAGTATTAGTATTTTTGGATTCTGTAACAAATTGATTGTAAATATATAAATATAAAAAGTGTAGCATAAAAAAGTATAGTATATAAAACCTATTAATCACAACTGTGTCAGGCATTATTTGTCGACATTGTAGTGAACGTACATTATGTGACGAGTATATTTTAGGCTAACATTGTATTGAGCGGTGCTGTCTGTCGGAGCCAATCAGAATATTATGATATATTGGTGAAATTCTAACTTGAGACCACCAACAGCTGGGTCAATGTCTGTTGATCGATTTGAAATGAGATATAGCAGTGAAGTTACTACGAAAGACCGCATTACACCTTAATCCTCAGGAATGGCAATAAATATACCATGTATTTTACAATATTCAAGATGTTATTCATATATGGTATGTAAACTTGACATTGCTAGCAATCCCGTTTCCCCTAATAGGCGATGGTTACAACTTTCCATCAGGTGTACGGTCAGACTTTACTTCGGGTCGTCCGCTAGTCCTTTTGTGGACCGCTGGGTACGGGCCCCGAGCTTGCGCTCCTTGCCCGGGCATTCTGCTAGGGTGAACCACCCCAGCGTCGTTCTTTTACCGGTACCGGCACACGGTCAGATCTTTGGCAATCCAATTGTATAAAAAAAGAAGTACCTTGACTACAGCTCTGGCTATAGCGACACGTTGCTTCTGTCCACCGCTTAGCTGATTACCCAGCGCGCCAACTTGGCGACCCCAGGCGGGTTCCCCGCGATCAGGCCCGGATAACACCAGCTCATGCAAATGGGCTGTACGTGCGGCCCTCAGCCACGCTGGTTCCACGTGACTTGGAGCTGACTCTTGCTCATCATTGGCTTCATCCAGTGCACCGTACAATATATTATCCTTTATCGACCCACTAAATAACACTGGCTCCTATAAATATATTATTAGTGGTTGATGACATATTATATTCCAATCGTCTTTAATTCACAAACATTTGTCATCATAAGAATGTATTTTTGTAACTATCTGGGTATTTTATATGTACTAGTTGTCACCCAATGGTCAAAATTAGACCAATTAATTTAAATTATAAGTTTGAATATTATTAAGATTCTATTGTCATAGACTTATACTTCGTGTGAGTGTATGTGTCAAATACATGATAGGTGTAAAATTTTTTTTACTGATTCAATGTATTTTTTATGCACAATTTGAAAAAAATATTTGCATTTGCACTTTTTCTCTACATATAGGTACTTATGTTAGTATGTAAACTCCTCCGAGCAATTTTCGTAAAAATAGGTAGCAATTTTTACTTTACGTTAGTTTTTGTTTACTTTGCAAGAACTTGCTACCTCTACTTTAATATGTTATGTCTCATAAAAAAACCCTAATCAAGTATGTTTATCAGTGGCTTAGTTGCCGATCCGATGCAAACTACTGAGATGTTATTGAATCGGAATAAACCATGATTCTAAAACAAACATTAAAAATATATATTTAATATATTATTGATACTTTTAAATTATTTATAGAAATTATATTTTTATAGACTATAATAATCGTGATTCACATCGTAGATATATAAAACTACTAGACATAAAGAGAAAAGAACATTTTTTTGGTAAATTATGAAGGTCATACCTGACTGACGAAACCAATGTGGCTTCTCAACCATACTGGGTCCAATTCACGGATGTCGATGCCGTCTAACAATATTCTGCCCTTTTCAGGGTCGTAAAGCCTGAGTATCAGCGAAGCTATGGTGCTTTTACCGCAGCCTGAACGACCCACTAACGCCAAGGATTTGCCCGGGCGGAGATGTAAATTGAACCCCTTAATCAACGGTGCTCCATCATATGAATACCAAACATTTTCCAAGACTATCTCTCCATTTGGCCTTTCCTTTGGTCTTAAACCACCTAAAATACCATTTTATTTAAAAAAGTACTACAGTACTACTCATTAAGTATATTATTTATAAGGATATATTATTATAGGGATTTTTTTATTGCTGTTATGTTCAGAAATGATTCAATAATACAAGTGTATGACATTTTTCGGATAACAAATAAGATTTTGGCCAATTATCAACTAGGAAACTAAGTCAACCAACACCATTAAAGGGTTGGGCCTTTTTTTTTTTTGAGGGTTGATAATGGAATGGTGCACCCGCCTGCGCTAACGGTTTACGCTGGGGGAAGGGTTGGGCCTAGTGCCAACAGAACCCACTACACTATAAAATTATTTTCACCAGGCCTTATACTTCATTATAAAACCTCATTTCCAATCTATACATATTCATAAAATTAAGTGTCGGTTTGTAATTTAAATTTAACAGCTTATGACCGGACTTTTCACTCGCAGATAACTAATATGATAAAAAGTAACATAAGAGACTTTATTGTTTATTTTAATTTTGTTTTGTTTAATAAAAAAAAGTTAAATTCCACGCAGACGAAGTCGCGAGTAACAGTATATAAAAAATATAAATAATAATATGTTAGGTACATTACTATTTGTTACTCAATCACACTTCCACAACTGAACGTATTCCAATATTTAGTAATATTCAGAGATATGTTATATCTTTTCAGATTTAAAGACAGCTCCAAGATATTCAAATAGTCATTTTTATAAAACTGTACAAACCTGAAACAGGTATTGTGGGTTCCCTGTCTATAATATCCCATAGCCTCGTTGCGGCGCCTATTCCTTTATTCAGTTCTGTATAAAAACTGCTCAAACCAGCTATACTTATGCCCACATAGCCAGCATACAACAAGAAAGATGTTAAATTGCCAACAGTCAATTGTTCGGACGCCACCATCCCTCCGCCGTAGTATAACACCAAGATTATTATAGCATTTCCGGAGAGACCTGTCTGCATAATAAATAATCTTTCATAATTATATAATTGGATAAAGTATTACTATAAAACCAACCTCATATTTTTTGAGATTTTATTGAGAGCTTGAGCTTGATAATTTACACGCTCAGAAAGTCTAATTTATTGATTTAATTCAATTTTCAATTTATTAAAAGTCCATATATATAGGCAATGGTACAGTCAGCTGGATTGTTCTTCCAATTACATAAAGAAATTTAGTACATATCTTACCAAACCATAAAAACTTCCAACTGCTAAGGACTCTTTGTAGGCCAACTTAAGAATGTTTTCAATTTTCTGTGAATATGACGTACATTCTGCTTCCTCCTTGCTAAATGCTTTTACAGTTTTTATATTGGATATTTTCTCTTCAGCTAGCTGTAAACATAGAGAAGTAATAATTACAATATAGATATACATATGATGACCATAAAGACTTCAGTTGAGCTATTGCATGATGCTTGCTGACATACTAAAATTTACTGTTTAAATTATGTTTTAGGCCTTGTTATTGGAAGAATAAATAATATTCTTATTTAATAATGAGCATGATATTTTAATCCTTCTGAATGGCAGCACATGACTCCTCATGTGTTGCCATTCAGAAGGATTAAAATCATCACAGTTGTTATGTGATAATGTGATGTCTGTGGTGCTGTTCATATACATAAGCAATGGTTACCACTTAACATCAGGTAGGCTGTCAGTTTGTTTACTATTCCAATTACATAAAAAAATATGTTAGAATAAACTAATATAATAGGTTTTTAATTTAAATCTACAAACCTTACTAGTGTCTGCTAAGGTGTCTTGCATCTGGCGTGTAATACCCCTTATAAAGCGTCCATACATGATGCCCAACATCGAGACAGGTGGCACTACACAAAGGCCAACCAATGCTAATGATGGTGACATGTAAATCTGTATTAATTTGTACACAGTGATGTAAAAGCTAATTAGTGTAAAAATATTTAAGTAATCTTTCATAAATTAACCAAAAATTCTAGTATTTTTCCATAATTGTTCCTTTATATAGTTTATTATAAAGCATAATTCTAGAATAGTGGTAACAGGGAACTTCCTTAATATCCTGCTCTAAAGAACCAAAAGAAAGATTAGATTCGAAGAGAGGATTTCATGATCTACAGTAGGATGATAAAACCTACTAATTTTGTAATAATAATATTATAATTAACACATAAATTAGACTTAACCTCAATCAATCATTCTGTTTATTAATTTATTTAACTTTTAGCATAACTTAACTATAAATAAATTGTATTGAAATCGAATTTAAAAGAATTAAGTTTGAAGAGAATAGGACATTTGAATGTATGCAAAATATCTTACCATCATACCCGTGCCAGCACACACCATAACAAATGAACGCAAGCCATCACTAACATTCTGGCTCAAATTTCTACCAACAAGCTGAGTATCAGCAGAGAGCCTGTTCACCAATTCTCCAGTTGATGTCCTACTGAACCAAGCTGGTTCCTGACGCATTATAGCACCATATGCTTGTTTGCGAAGTGACTGTGTCATTCTTTGTCCTGCAGATTAAAACATAGTATACACAATTATTATGACCAGTATTTATTTTAATATCTGGTAATTTCACTAGTACCCTGCTAGTGTAAACCATTACCACAGGCAGGTGTACCATTCCAGTATCATAAATTAAAATATATGGAGTCGGTCACAATAAATATACAAATAAAATAGACCCTCAACTAATAATTAGTATATTGAAAAGAATAATATTAACAAAAGATTATCTTAAAGAAAATATAGTTATATATGTGGATCAGAGCTGTATAAGGCGAGTGACGGATGACATGAGAATATTTTATAGGTGAAAATATGGAATGTGTCTGTCTTGTCTGTAAGCGGCCAGTTGTCATGAAAAGAGGTAATGATTATAATACAAATATATCCAGTACACCATATATTATTATACAATATATCCCTTACCAGATATTGACATCAAATATACCCTGCCAAAGTTGCATAGCCCTCCAACCATAAATACACCACATAACACAAGACAGAGAGCATCCAGTTTCTCCCTGGCTGCAGGTAAATCATTGGTACTGTCATAAATTATATCCAAAACCTTTCCAAGAGAGAATGGCACAGCCATGGTCACACTTGATGAAATTATAAGAAGTCCAATAGCACCTGAAACCAAATGAATTGTAAATATTTAATTTACTAAAACAAATTTACACAAGACATTACACCTCCAATCAAGTAGTACTACTAGTAAAAAAATAAAGGAATATTTTTTTATATATTAGTTTTAGAAATCATTAAACTTTTGACTAAATGTTATGTATAATGTATGATTCAATAAAATTGTTTAGTTTTAATTTGTTCCAAGACCCTAAAAAAGATTTTATGAAAATTTTATTTATTTAAAACACCTTATTTGTCACTAATTTATTATTTTAGTTCCTTTACTTATATATACTATCTGAGTTGAGGTGTGATATATTACATTTAGTCCACTACAATTGGTACTTCAGGTATTCTATCTGTTCATTTATTTATCATTTGACAGCTTGATTGTAGGTTGCAGACTTTGTATCAGTAAAGCTTAAATTGTTATACAATAAATTCTAAATTAGGGTATTCATAATAAATATGCTATAAAACCAAATGCTACTGGATATCACTGTTTATAACTGCATTTTATATATCACCATATAGACAAATTGTATATACTGTACAGTTATTACATAACAGTGAAACAAAATTAGCATTGTTAAATGTTCTGTTTAGAGAAGCCATTACCATATCTACTGATAATTAAACTAAAAGCTTTGATATTTTTATTCACATTGTTTTCAGGCTTAGACGCAGTTAATACGCATATAAGATTTATAGTCTGCTTACCAGTGAGGGTCCATTTTTCTGGTTGAGCTAAGCTAAATAATCTTTTCAATTCCGATGGTTTTAATTTAACTTTAATTTTTCCCGAAGACACAAGTGTCTCTTTGTCCTTTAATGTTTGTATATGTTCATTTTTTTTCTGAGTATCCACCTGACTTGTGAAAAAACGTGGTATAATATAAAAAATTTTACTGCCGTGGACATTGAACGATCTTTCATAATAATTTCGTAAGGTAGCCTTGTGACTAGAGAATAACCTGAAGCCGCGTTGATTAAAACATTCTTTTTGTGTCAATAAGCTTAAGAAATTTGTATGTCTAATATACATTTTAGAATTAAAATTTATATTTGTTAATCGCTGAAACATATTTATCTAAAATTTGGCTATGTTTAATTATGAAAAAAAAAATAAACAGAATTTTTAGAGATAATTTATATTACAAATTCGTAAATTGACATATGATAAGAGGTAAGTAAATTATAGTCAAGACATGACATTGATATTGACATTCATGATGGAAGATATTCTTTTCAGATCTAAATTCAAGTCGTTTATGACTTTTGTCGTTTATAAAACAAAATATTGTACCTATTTGTTGTAACTTTTCAGAAACTGATACATATGTACATGGAAATCTGATTCCAATTTCTTGCCATATTTCAATTGATCAAATTTGGATGAGTCGTATGCCAAGATGATATGTTGACAGCGAACAGGTATACAGATACAAAAAGGTGTACAGGTCTTATTATGATCTGTGACGCAAACCATATGTTTCGCTATTTTTATTGTTGTTTTAATAAAATGTACAAGTTATCCTAATAAATACACTTTAATACTGACTTAAATTGTTCACATTGACATTTTTGTACTGACCATGAATAGCCTATCTCTAAGAATAATAAGAGGTGGAACAAAGAAATCTAAAAATTCATTTGGATTCTCGTTACTTAAAATTCAAGAATATGAAGTTTCAGGTAGTATTATATATTTGGTACCCTATAAACCCTTGTCGGAGGTTTCTGTTTCTATTATTACAATCATTACCGCTTTAGTCTAGGTATATATATAATTACTACCAGTAGTACTCACACATAACCTTAAATAAAAGTCTAACCTACATTAAGTTATTCAATCGGGTGTCTCAATCTCATTATCTGTCCCAGGTATTGTACATATATCTTGTGTGTCAAAATAACTTTACAGCTTTAAGACTTCAGTCTTTTTACATTCGAAATACAAAGTCAAAATTAATAATTAGACTACTCATGTACATCTTAATTTTTTACCATTATCTGTACTATTTAGAATTCACCTAGGCAGTAGCTAGGTGACTTCTAAATGGTAGAGATAGTGGTACAACAAGGTGAGAAGGCTTGACATACTCAACGGGTACAATACTGACTATCATAATTAACATCTAAACTTATATTTCAGGTATTAATGCAGAATTGTATGAATCCTTCAACAATTCAAAAAGTCCTGATGAACAGTTACACATATTAAAAAATACTTTGGAAAATAGTAAATATGTATCAGACTTGTCCTTAATTGAGTTCCTTGTTGTTGTATTTCTGCTGGCTGCAGCTAAACATCCAATAAAATGTTTCATAACAAGGTGAATATTTCTGTCTTTATCTGTTCAATTCTTTCTATTCAAATGACTTGTTAATCAGTAGCTATAGCTGTTTTATATTAGAAATAAAATATTAGAGAATGAGTACTCACTTCCTATTTTAAAAAGTCACTGAAAATATTGATTTCAAATAATGACCATGATGATCTACTGTTTATGCATACCGCTTTACTGCCAATAGTCACGGGTTTGATATCTTGCTCAATGTAAACACTTGTTTTAATGACTATAAGTGTTCTCTATATATGTATTTTTCAAAACACTATTAATTTGTCTAGTACCTATAATACAAGTTTTTATTATTATTAATTGTTGAACTTATGTCAATCATATTAATACATAATTATATTAATTACAGTTTAGAAAATATAAAATTGGATAAAATACTTCCATAAAAAAAAATAATTGTGTCTTTTTTTTGACAGATTGCTTATTTTAAATTTACATTTATTTTTTAGGCACATCACTAAGAACATAAATTTACAACAGCCTTTCTCAGACACACTAGCAAGTCATATAGCACAGTATGTAGCAAAAAGACCTAAGTCATACACTGAGTATGTGTGTGTAGCAATGAAAGTAGCCACATGCATTGAAAATTTTCCACCTGGATCAAATGCTGTAAGAGCTGTTGAAGTAAGCTTAACTGAGTATTTAGTGACTTGTTTGGAGTGTTGTATTAAGACATTAAGGTATGTAACCAGAGAGAGAATAATTTGAAATACTTTTTCCCAATAAACTTTTCATGAGTAAAAAAATGGGAATACATTTTGTTGGTTAAAATTACAGGTATTATTTATGACAAAATTAATTAAGTATGTTTAATCAGTTTGTTGTCTTTCTGAAATAGAGGTTAAGACATTTTTAATGAATAATATCAGGTTTTTTTGTTTCTATACATTTAAAAAACTATCCCATGATTCCATAACAAAGTAGGTATGCAGTAAAATATCTAGTAACAAGGTATGCAAATGTGATCATATCTTTATATATCAGGAAAAATTACATATTTCACTAATTCAATCATTTCTAAAAATAAATCAATGTTTCTGTTTTATATATTGAAACAGAAACATTGATCTATTTTCTAATACATTATTTGAATATTTACTTTGAATTTTTTTTATATTTCAGAGATGAACAAGCATTGTCACCAACAGAAAAGAATGAAATATTCAACTTAGCTCATTTAGCTGTAAGATTACTCCTATATATTATACAGAAAATCAATGAAAAAAATACTGAGAACATCATGTGTATGTTTATTGCTATAAGGTTGTGTATTAAAGAGTTAATGTTTGATGATGATGTTCCAATGGATACAAAATCTGTGTCAGGAATACTATTTTTGTACATGCATGTAATTGAGAATGGACCTGATTCATGGTTAGATGTAAGTTTATATTTTTTATTAATATAATATTATGTATATGATATAAAGAGAACTTTTTTTCATTGTATTTAGCAACATACTGCTTACATGAAAACTTAAATTTTCTAAATTAAAATTATTGCCACAGGCTTACTATACTTTTACTCTATAACTAGACAAAATATCTTTTTAAATTTTTAAAAATCGTATAGTTACTTACAGCTACTTTTGTATAATAAGAAAGTACAGAGCAAAAGGTTGACATGTGTAAGTTTATAATAAAAATACCATATAATATTCGTTACCCCTTGATAGCAAAAGAGGGATTTATAAATAGAAATTAAAGAGAGTCATATTTGCCTGTGTGCACATCTGTCTGTGGCAACTTATATACTAAATGAATTATTTGTTTGAAAGCTGTTGTGATCGAGATTGTTGTGTACAATTTCTTAGTTTATTTTTTATTGTGTTACTATACTTATATATTTTAGTATCACAATGAATAGTAATAGAAAATAGCCTAAACAAAGACTATGGCAGCTAGGCAGTTCTTTACAGTTTGTTTTTATAGACATATTTTTTTTTACAGTTATTTGCTTCCCCAACCGACGACCTTCTTACATTGTTAAGAAATGAAGCGGCACAGTTGGCCCTATATTCTGCAATACCGACAGTAGTAACAATGGAGAGTTTGCAGTCTCAAACTGTCGCAGGCAAGTCAATTGTTATTGTATTGACTCAAAACATTGTGGCTATTGGAGAAAGGTATATTATATATTGTCTTAAATTTCAAAAACACTTTGTTCAGTAATTGAATTCTTTATGTTTAAAATCAGTTTAATTAAATTAAAGAAAAACTTAAAGAATACCGAATTTTAGTTATCATTTAGTTTAGTGTAAAGCATTTTGATATTAAATGTAATTAAATTATTAATACCAGTCCCGATGTAAAATTAGTGCTGCAATTTCAAGGACGGAATCTGTGATGAAGAAGATTAATACTTTTGTTAAAAAACTTCATTAAATTCAGAGATAAAATCTGTATATATTTATTAATGTCTTAATTATATTATATATTTTACTGTATTGTTGTCCTAATAAAAAAATCATTGAATTCTCCTTGACAACGATATTTTGTTTATTCAAATTCAATATGATCAAAATAATTTTACAAATATCTATGTTACAATATCTGTCTGTAATAGACATGGCACATATTTCAGGAATCCTTCAGAGTCCACATTAAGCCTAGGTGTTACGCGAACAATATTACAAATCAGTAAAAGTATAGAGCGGTCCGGCGACGAAGATGTGTGTTCAGGGCTTGTTGCTGTTCTATTGGATTTTGTGTGGCCTCATTTAGACCATCACATGGACAGTGTGAGACATTTGACTGCACAAACACTGACCAATGTCGTTAGATATTGTACAAAGTTACAAAATCAAGGTATGTATTAAGTGCAGGTGTGATAGAAGAATTTAAAAATTATCTGTTGTGCCCACTTGTTTTTAAATTACTAATTAAGTTAAATAGATATTTTTTATTTTGCGATGATAATGTAACGCCGCCTGCACTAACGGTATATGCTGACGGTGTACCAGTGAAGGATGATAGAATTAACATGAGGTCAGGTTAGTTTGCCCATGGTGGCGAAATTACATTACCCTCTTTTCTAACAATCCCCTACCCTTCAATCCAATAGATATTAAGTTTATATTTTATAATATATTAGCTATATATATGTACATGAAAAAAAACGTGAATATAGTAGGAGAGGTCTGCAATATATGCTTGTTATAAATTTCTGTCACAAACTGATTTTCTATTTAAAATATGCTGTATGGTAGTGAAATAAATGGGTATGTAGGTGCAGTTAAAAAACAGCAAATTCCTGAAGAATTTCAACATATAAACGACTTCACGTATCGCAATGTATTTGTGTGTTGCTAATTATGTCTAGAGGTGCGGTAACCATCTGATGTTAACAAAAAATTCTGATGATTAATAAAAAGTGTAGATAGAGAATAAGTATTATTTGCTTGTAGGTAACAACAAACCCTTAGACTGGGTTTACACCGCCTTGTCATCGCTAGACAAAGGTCGCAAAAGTTACTACGTGAGCGTGACGTCACTAGTCATCTGTCTAGGAGCTAGGAACTTCATAAGACAGTTTCCAGTAGTCATCTGTGATCTTGTTGCAGCATTACATGTTCAACCAGTTCAAGCTAGTGTGAGTGAACTAATATATATTTTAGTAACATGATTACTTAAAAAAAAGTTAAATGTTAAAGTAAAGTTAATTAATGATACTTGCTTATTTGCCTAGTTTTATTTAATTTAATGTTACAAATAAAATTAGTATATTTTTGTTCACTCATTGAACAAAAATATACTAATTTTATACGTAAAAATGTATATTAGATACACTAATAATAAAAAATCGAATTAATTCAATTACATTCACTATACCAATGATTTAAATATCTAAAGTAAACATAATCGATCCAGCATACATAGTCCCATAACACAATAAAAAATTCAAAATTAAGAATATTATGCATATTTTAAATTAAAAATAGGTTTTATATGATTTTACAAATAAATGTTTGATGTTGATGATTTTCCTTTTCAGGCAACAACAGCTCTTGAGACATTATTGCAGAATCATGCGCCACAAGCAAGCACACAGTGCATTTACGAACAGTGGATATTACCTATACTGTCGCATGTTGCCAATAGTACCCCAGACTCAACTATACTCAACATACTCGAGAACATATTGGCTAAGGCTTTGTCGCTTGATGAGAACCTCATAAGTTATATGTGAATTTAATGTTATCTCATTTATTTCATACTAATATAACATAGTTTATCTTTTTACCAGTATTAATCTGTAAAATAGATTGAGTTAAAAAATGCAAACAAATCATAGAGTAGGGGCAATTGGTTAAAAAAATATTCTTTTTACCTTTACACTTTCTAAGTTTTCTATGTTTCCTTAGCCTCACCTGTTTCGCCGCCAAACAGCTTTGTAAGCTGTATTTCGGAAGACATAGACATCTTAGTCTCTGGAAGGGGATCGTGTGAGGGGTACTACAGAAGGCACATGATCATGTGATGTCAATGCCTCTCCGTACATATATAAAAGACGGTTGCCACTTACCACCAGATAGGTTATTCTCTATTTGCCATTTCAATTATTAAAACAAATACACCAAATATTCGAACGTCCACAACTAATTAACAATAGTCGAAAATTATTATCTATAGTTTTTTAGGTGTCTGTTAAAATATATAAAAACTGAAGTATATTTCACCCGCAGTTTGCCGCATATTAAACAATCGTGCGAGTCTCCTCACAAGGACATCAGATGTGTGCTCATGCTAGTTAATGTGGTGCAGAGGTCCAACCTTTCTGCTCTGCAGATAGAAGAAGAGGATGAAGAGGAGTGGGGAGGGCTTATCCGATATGATGTACTTGAGGCAGCTGCTGTTGATGCAGTTGATGAAGTCAGTTTCTGACTATTCTTTTTGCTTTTACAATATATGGCCCATGAATATTTTATAAAAGTTAAAAATATTACCTATTATTAAAAATATGGACAAGAGCAGCTCGAACTAGCATATCGTCTAACCTCTATGTATGCATATGCAGTATATGTATTTCTTATAATGAAAAAAAAGATATAAAACCTCAGTGATATTTTTAAATAACCATTTAATGAAACAAAATAATAAAGCACGAGCTATTAAAATTTAGGCAATCATTTCTCCGTTTTTTTTCCGCGGCACAGCAACTAATAACACAATCCAAATCTTACACAAAGAAAATATTTGCATACATACCTTGTAATTGTCGACGAAACTCAGCTACCATAGTAACCTTTATTTTTACTTATTTATATTTCAGGCTACTATTGCTATTGGCCCATATTATAAATACCTTATAGACAGAGACGTTTAATATTATTAATTCATATGTATGTACATATGAATTAATAATATTAATTGTCTTTGTGATACCCTCGACCAGTAGTCCTCCTTCATGCATGGGGGCAGCATGTTGGTAGGGACCAGGGTCACAAACATCTTGAAACTCGCTTTGTGACTCTATTACAGCTGCGTTACCCTCAAAGTCATGTTACTTCTGGTCCGTATATAGTCGAGAATATCCAGCTCCTTGCTCTGTACCGAGACAGACTCACGTCATATATCGATATGGTATTGACCACAGACGCGTGTACTAGTGCTGGCGTTGGCAGTGCAAGGGAGGCGGTTGTCGTGCCCGCTGGCCGCTCGCCAGTTGCGTCTTGTGCTGCGGATACTACACTACAGCGCTGCGCCTTCACCGCATGCTCGCCATCTCATGCTGGGTCTACTCGGGAAGGTAGAAATCCACTACACAATACTCTATGTATTTATATCATATACACGGGGTCGGCACAATAGTTTTTTCTCATTTATTTATCCTGCAGTTCTCCTCCGGCTATTTACTCCCTTTCATTTCATTATTTTTTATTATTATAGTATAGCTTTATTCTTCCACATAATACATATTTTTAACATCTAATTATAATAATAACTCAGTACAATTGACATAGCACTATCTACTCCCAAGCTAAACATAGCATGTATTATAGGTACTAGACAACAAATATAGATATATTTTCTTTTAGAAATACATACATATTAGGCATAGAAAACACCCGGACCGATACAAAGAATCATAGTCATGAATACAAATGTTTTTACCGTCGAGTATTCGAACCCGCGACTATCGGAAATACCGCAAGTTACGCGTGTTCTTCTCAGGAAAGCAGTCTCTAATTGATACTTAGAGTTTTCCACTAGTAAAAAATACTAAGAAGTTGCTAATTAACAATATTATAAATTTGTAATATGAAAGGAAACTACATATTGACAGATGCTTACAGCTATCCAAGAAGTGCTAAGTAATGAAATATAATAAACAAAGACAATTTATGAGTTCTTTTAGCCGTTTTAGCGTAATCTAAGAGGTTTTATCGATATTAATCATTATTGCCTAATCAAGTAACGTTTTAAAAAACTATATGTATTTATTACAGTTTATAAAACGTTTAGAAGACAGTTTTACAGTACTAAAAAGACAAAAAGATTCTTCAGACTCAAGAAATAAGATTAATTATTACTTGGACTTCATCGAAGAGTTTAGACGTCAGTGCTTCTCAAATTTGATACGAGGCGCCAACTACAGCCGGCGATTTGTAGCTCTACAGTTATTGAGTTGGTGCGAGAATGCCCATTTGGAAGGCTACGAAAGGTAAATTTATTGACATAAAAGTAAAATGTTCTATTTAGCGAAACTTTTTACTAAATTAACGCCTAGACTATAAATAGAATTAAGTGTAACATTTAATAAAATTATCGATGATTCTATATAAAGTAAAAAAATTTGAGAAGTCACTACTTTTTTAATAAATCACTTTTAAAATGTATTTCTCGTGCATGAGCTATAGATTATACGGCTAATACAGCCAATGATTAATTCATTGTATGCTTCATTATTATAAATGAATCATTTTAGTTACAAGTATTTTAGTTCAGTACTGAAACAACGACCCTCTTTGGCCGATATTATATCTGGATTCCAAATTAATGGTTATATATTGTGAAAGAATTTTTTTCTTTTTTATAATATTTCATATCTTACTTATTGCAGAACGTGGACTGAGGAATATGTTGAGAATTTATTACTGCACTTAGAAGACAGTTACGAGAATAATAAAGCGCTGGCGTTAGACATACTCGATAAATGTCCCATACAACTGTTACAGGTAAGTTATATGCCGTTTAAATCGCAGAAATGACCAACAAGTTAACTGCCTGAGAGTAAAAATTATATTTTGTTACAGCTAAAGACTTATAGTGTCAGTCTAGAGTTAGATGATATTCTAGCGCAGGCGTCATGCATGAAACCGACAGAATGTGTCTCGGCTGCTTACAAACTCGATCTACTGGTGAAAAAGCTACCGGGTCGGATATTACAGGGAAAATCATGGTGAATATATATTTTTTTTAATTAATAGATCTTAATGTATTTGCTTATTTTTTCAAAACATTCGACATACTACACATATTATAAGCAGTAGTTAAGCGTATTCAAAGCTAAACTAATTGCCAATGCATGTCTTTACACGACACGTTTTTTACGATTAGGAGCGCTCGATTTAGCATCGGAAAGCCTACGAACACAATCACGCGTGTATGTTTCATATCCTTTCACTTTGTTTTAAAGTTTTTTTTTATTCCACAGATTTTATTTTCCAAAGACACGTTCAAGATTTATAAATTGTCAATAACTATAGGTCTTTGCTTTATAGTGATATATCCGCCATTATGGAGTTATAATTAATTATTATAAAAAGGCGCTAAATCACGCGCGATTAAAGGATGCCTGACCGCGCCATGTAAGACCTCGTTCTTTTATCTTCATTTACATACACATTATTTCCTGTGAAAAATGGTACACGTAAACGCAGCTATTGTCTACGCCTACAAGCTCATTGTTTCCTGCCTGAAAGACAATTTGCGCGAGATATAAAGTACGTTCAAATGCAGCTAATAATTTTGAGTATTAAGAAAATTTATTATATGTTACAGTTCAGCCGCAGAGCCTGTAATCTACGTGCTGGTGGAGCGTATGGTGCGGGATTTGCGCGCGCAACTGCGGACTGCAGTACGCAGCGTGGTCCGCGCCGCTCGTGCTGCGCCCCTGCACGGTCTGCTGCACTGTCTCCGAAGCACCCTCCACTCGGTGAACACGCGGTGAGCACGTATATAAATTCACGTCAAAAGTTTTTGCTTCACATATATAATCATATTATTACGGAACGCAAAAACCTTGTATCCATTTTTACGAAAATGCCTGTGTTATATTTACTGAACAATTGATATAATAATTTTTTGTTTAACATATTAATATATAAATTATTATAAAATTATTTCAAGTACTCATTTAAAAACGCTAAATTAAAACTCTCCTTTTCAAGCACTGACATACTATATGAAATGCCTGTATATATCCATATTATTATTATACTTTGATATATGCAAATTTCGCTGCTATTCTTACTATGTCAATGACATCACAGATATTAAGCTAAATTGTAGTACAACTAGATTCAATGTTTACATTCTACAGAGCTATATCTGAAGACAAATGCTGGACATCGCTGATAAGCCAGCTGATTGATACGTGTATTGAGGTGACAGACGCGGTTGCATGCGTGGTGAACAACTCCTCGCCTGAAGGTCACCTGCCGATGGATGCATCAGGAGTCTCCGTTACCGACACTGGGAACTCTGGGTAAATTTATTAGTGTGTATTTTTTCTATATAATTTAAATGACAAACACGCTGGCGACCTAATAATATATTGTTTATTTGGTATATACATGAACAACACATTATTATGTGACGTCCGCCATATCAGGTATGCATGACCTTTTCGGAAGACTTTAATGTCATTTCTCTTATCCTGTAATTTCACTGCTTTATCTCTTTGCAAGCTAAATATCGGCTCGAAATAGAGACAGAAGTACCCGATGCTCATCATTAGTAATATGTTGACCCACTAGTGCTTATGTAATTATAGTATTTCATTAGTGTATAATGCACCATTTAATGAAAATTATGATTTCATAGGTTGTTTATCGAATATGACATAATAATAGCTACTCTGTAATAAATACTAAAACTATGAAATATCGATAATAAATAGAATAAGCACTGCTGAAAAAAAATACAATGTTCTTTCGAAATTAATGAACGTAAATAGATATATCTCGTATATGCAAGCGCGCTTAGATGAGAGTTACCACTATATAAGTAATCTTTCATTTGATATTTCACTCTCATTAAATAATTTTAAGAGTACAATTTATTTATACTGTAATTCTAATAGAAACTTGTATGTGTGTGCTTGTTTGTATATGTATTTTTTATATTGTACAGTGGCGTAGTGCTAGAGGATGGTCGTCCCGTTACAGCTCAAATGGTCCTACTCTGTGCATGGAGATCCGTCAAAGAGGTATTTACGTTGATTATATATTTTAAAGAAGTATCTTTAGTTGTTGCCATTGAGCTAAAAGCCATACGAGTTTGGGATAAGGCCTTAAGGGTTTAATCAATTGGAATTTTTTTTCAAATCATTATTGGACGAAAGTTGTCAATAACTGTTCTTATTCCGAAAAACATGCGTGCTAGTTCGCAGGTACAGTTTTTAACTTATAAGATAGATATAGATTATATGACGTAATAAAAGATTTCAACAATGTTATGTATAATAAATGTGAATGGGAACAATATTATAACACGTAATATAAGTGTTTTTGTAAACAATATATCATTATCACGCTAGGTTTCGCTCTTATTGGGTACAATATCATCCCGGCTGACGGTGGAAGGCGAGTGCAACGGCAGCGGTTCGCTCTCAGTCAAGCAGATGCAAGCGCTTGGCGATCATTTCACTTCTCTACTGACGCATACCAAGCACAGGGGAGCATTTGAACAGGCTTACGTGGGTTTCACGAGACTACTATCCAGGTATTCATTCATTTATAATTTAAGAGCCGTTCTTTTGTCGGTGAAGCTCTTGCCATTTTCAATTAATCTCTTTAGATGTTGATACGACGTGACTGTTACAACTGCTTGCGCCTGGAAATTACTATCCAGCAATATTTAACATTGTAATAATAATAAATGAAGAGTAGACATATTATTTATTTTGAATTGAAGAGCCAACGTCTTTATAATATACAGCCATTACGTTAATATCCGTCCATAAATATTTTCTGTATCCTATAAGAAGTTAATTATATTTGTATAATATTCAAGCAATAAATCTTATGAACAACAAGGAAAAGTTCGTATATGTCATCTGTATTGTTTTTCCTAATTATCGGCTCTCAGACACCACTGTTATCATTCGCCGTTCACAGCTTAATGCACGCATTACGTCTGCGGTGTGCGCTAGAGACTATGTCGTCTGCTTCCTTCTCTGTCCCACACAGTCTATACACAGGCAGGCAGACAGACTAGACAACAAACATTACATATATTTAATTTTGAAATCACACGAGAGTAATGACAACAGTTATGAACCGTAGTGTCAATTAGTCTGTGGTAATAAATTTATGCATATATGTATGTGTGTAGACTGTGGCGTTGTCGCGGGCCGCGACTGCACGGGCTGCCGGCGGAGTGGCTGCGGGCCCTGCTGCGGTCACTGGCGGCCGCACCGGGCGGCGCGAGGTGTGCCACGCGGCGCAGCGCCGGGCTACCGTTCACGATACAAGTACGACATCCTCCTACGTACAGTCGACGGCGGCGCGAGGTGTGCCACGCGGCGCAGCGCCGGGCTACCGTTCACGATACAAGTACGACATCCTCCTACGTACAGTCGACGGCGGCGCGAGGTGTGCCACGCGGCGCAGCGCCGGGCTACCGTTCACGATACAAGTACGACATCCTCCTACGTACAGTCGACGGCGGCGCGAGGTGTGCCACGCGGCGCAGCGCCGGGCTACCGTTCACGATACAAGTACGACATCCTCCTACGTACAGTCGACGGCGGCGCGAGGTGTGCCACGCGGCGCAGCGCCGGGCTACCGTTCACGATACAAGTACGACATCCTCCTACGTACAGTCGACGGCGGCGCGAGGTGTGCCACGCGGCGCAGCGCCGGGCTACCGTTCACGATACAAGTACGACATCCTCCTACGTACAGTCGACGGCGGCGCGAGGTGTGCCACGCGGCGCAGCGCCGGGCTACCGTTCACGATACAAGTACGACATCCTCCTACGTACAGTCGACGGCGGCGCGAGGTGTGCCACGCGGCGCAGCGCCGGGCTACCGTTCACGATACAAGTACGACATCCTCCTACGTACAGTCGACGGCGGACACGGCGGGGGCGGCAATATTATTATTTAATACAATTTGACTATTCTCATGTAATATTTATATTAAATAGACTTTGCGTATTATTACTAGAATAGAAACTTTCTGGAATTCCTGATGTTATTTCTGTAAAGAAATATTTATTTTAGTAGATAGTAAATAAAATAATGTTGCTTTCCAGGCAATAGTAACAACGGAAATAGAAGTGCAAGGCAACCCAAAATGCTTTCATCAGTGCATGAAAACATTACTGCGTCTCGCGTGCCCACCGTCACTTTCATATAAATATAGAGATATCTATACAACGAAGCTACAGGATGGAACAAGTAATCATATTGACAGTGAAGAAATGGTAGATATAATTCCTGACGATGTACCCGTGGAGACAAGAACACATAGTTTGAATATTCTGCGCGCATTGTACCGTAATTCAGCACTAGAAGAGAGCGTCAGTTCGTACGTGGGCACAGGATTTATTGTAGCGCTGTCTGGATTTGATGGTGATACATGGGCGGTAAGAATGTTATTAGTTTGTTAAAATATAGACCAACTGTTATTGACTTTGTGCGGAGTTATTGTATTTGTGTAATCATATACAAGTTCATGTGATTTAATAAGAGCCGAATTTCTTGTAAGTTCTTGGATCGAAAGCACTCCGAATTAATGGTGGATTTGAAAAATCTTGAGAGTCAGTAATAGATCTATATCTAAATCTAAATCCGTCCTTATACTTCTCTCGCTTCTTACTATTAAATTTAATAAATATTTTTGATTAAAAATTAATTTTTTTGCATTGCCCTATTTTGATTGGATGTTATTTATATTAAATTATATCGCGAATTTATTTTCAGGAACGCAATTCGTCGACGCTGGCATTGAGCGCGCTAGTTTCGCGCGTGTTCGGTGTTGCGCCGGCGGAAACATCAACACCGGTCGATCGACATCGCTCTAACACTATGACGGGACGCATCTTCTTTCTCCGATACCCCCGACTCTACGACTTCATGTTGGTAAGTCGCAAATCTCAATAGTAATTAACAATATTACATAAAAACACATGACTTTATTTTTGATAACTTTTGTAGTATTGTAGTACTGTTCATGTACGACAAACAAAGTCCTTCCAATAACTTGAATCGCTGTGTTAACTTTCCGTTTAATAATATATTGTTTTCATAAGACATAAACTGTAATACATACATTCCTTTGCACACACGGTTTCGGCTAAGAAACAGAGGATGGAAAATTCAGTCTGTCACCTATCCTCCTATCCTAACCTATCCTTAAAGACGTTTGTATTACTGGCAGGTATTTCATTTTTATATGAATTTGTTCGCAAAAATATATTGAAGAATTTCTAATAATTTTCATGTGGGAACATGTTATTAAAAGGTCCAAATACTGATTTCATTATACGCTAGTAACATACTATATTAACTCGGAGAGTGCCGCGAGATGTAATTAGTAGTATGTACTTATATAGGTTTGTGACACGATGTTTAAATTGAGTTTACTTACAACAACGACTTTAATTTTATTAGGAGAAATTAAAAGAGGCGAGCACAGACAAAGATAATCAACTCCGGCCGTGTCTTTACCCAATACTGTTGGTTCTGGCGCGGCTGTACCCGTCGTCTCTAGAAGGCACGGTCTCCACACTGAAGCTGGTCGCGTTTGTACCGCACGTGCTCGCGTGTGCCAGGAGTAGTGTGCTGAAAGTTCGACAACTGGCCGCTAAAGCGATGGTGCCACTTATATCGCCTGAACAGTAAGTATTCAATTGCTTCTTATACTCTCATTGCATGAAAAGAAAATATCTACATATGTATATATGTGTTTAAACATTTTTTCTTTGCCTTAAATAATATATCGTCGTATTGTCTTGTAGACAAGCATTAAATTTTTTTTAATCTATTTAAATTATTTTTCCCTTAAAGTATTAAATTTACACAGAAGTATTATATCTATATATAATTTTAAAAGTATTTAGATAATGATTAAGACGGCGTTCTTAATTTAATTGACTTATATAAAAGGAGGCAATTCTAGCTTCTAATTTTGAAAAATGTAATTTTCCTATTTAATCAACGATATATTTACCTTTATGTATACCTATTATTTAAGAGAGAGTCATTGTCTTATTTCACTGTTCACTGTCTTCATTGAATGCAATAATTTGTAGATTGTACTTTTTATAAAGTAATATAACTAAAACGTAAAACCTACAAATTATTGCATTCAATGAAGACAGTGACTCTACGAAAAGGTAGCAAGACAATTAAATAACTAAAAGAGCGTAGGATTTTTTTGAATAACGGTAAAGGTTGATAAAGACCTCTGCCCCGTTAAAATTATAATCTTTAAAAAAAACACAGCACATTTACCAACACAGTGCCAAACTTCAATTAATTCAACAGATATTCGTTTTGCGGTAACAAATAAGTTGGATCTGTACTATTTACAATTAGTGTTCACAATTCACATACATCCATACACAATTTCAGCATAATCATTTATATTTCTTACAGATACATTCCGCATCTGGAAATGACACTTACTATAATAAGAGACGTCAATATAAAACGAAACTACTGTCATGGAATATTACTGCAATTGGTTAAACTGTTCGCCTCTAAACCGGAACGTCTGTGTGATATGCAGACTATTCCACTCTCGCATCTCTTACCTAAGACTCTTTGGATATTAGAACAAGCTGTGATAGATAAACCTTGTTACTTATTGGCTGATGAGTATGTGAAAATGGTCAATCTGATATTGTGGCGGTAAGGTTTAAATCTACTTTCTTCAATTCATACAATAAATTTAAATTACTTTACGTGTACTGTGTAGTACAGAGCACTTTAAACGTAAAGCATAGCGGCAATAGTATTTGTATTACACATAATTTAAATGCAATCACATTCAATTTTTATTATTATTTTTAAACATGAAATTCTGTAATATATAAGTTTGGGTATAATATAACTAATTCTTTCAGGTTCCCCACATTACTCCAGATAGATATAATATCCAAAATTGAGAATTATCTAGAACAACTATTATTCTACAAACAAGCGCCCAATATCGACTCTGGAAGAGATATATGTTTAGCAAACACTCTATACCTGTATTTAATTATTTTACATAAACAAAACGATAATAAAATCCCAGATGCAATATATAAAGGCTTATCACATAAATCCTATGAAGTAGTATTGTCCACGTTAAATTATTTGCTAATTTCACACAATAACATTGAAAATAATTGTAAATTCCAAGAGCATTTATATTTGTTAGCAAATGAAAATATATTGCATAAACTGAGAGAAAACCACACATATATAGACAAATTATGTGAAGTGTACAAAAGTAACAAATATTTAGAATGTATACAGAAAACATTGAAAGTGTTAACATTAGAAAATGACACGCAAAAACGTATTATAGAAATTAAAACTAATCTTACAAACATATCAGATGTATATGCTATAAGAAAAATAATAGAGTTTATTCAAGAAGAGCACTATAATTTAATACATATTTACTTGGAGTGTTTGTCGACATTCATATCTAGGAGAGTAAATGATAGTAATTTAATGAAGGAAACTATACTGACCGTAATAAGGGTCATATACGATTGTAGTTCATCAGATAACACAGATGACACAAGGAGAGTTGTTGTAGATTTCCTTGAGAAGAATCTGATAGAATTATTAAGCTTGAAATTAGAGGGCATGTGTGATGAAGACAAATGTAAGAATCTTTTCAAATTATCTTGCATTTTTTCAATTATGTCTACTCTTACTACATTATTAGAAAAACAATGGATGAGGTGTAGTATTGTACACTTTTATTTTTCGTTGTAAATAAGCGTTACTGATAACAACTTATTTTTTCTATGTATGTCATTACACTCTTTCCAAAACATAGATAATGAATTTAACAACCCTGAATGATGAATTTAACAAACCTTAACTTTTTTTTAATTTTTTCTGTAACAAATTGTAAAAAAATATCACGTGATATCTTTGTATATTGTGATCTGATTTTAATTATTATTTTTTAATCAAATTGCGAATTTTTCGTTGCATTAGTGCTATACTCTTTTTGTAAAGTTACTTTAAGCAGAAATTATTATTATTTCTAAAATTTCATAAACTTAAACTTTGCAGTTGAATATAAAGCAACACTATTAGCAACAATAGTAACGGTCCTCGAAGACGACAACGAATCGCTACGACAACGTACATCAAACGCAGTGATGAAGTTAGTGAATAACGATAGTATTACTACCTCAGTGATTCCTAGTAAAGCTGCGGAGATGTTAAGAGATTATATAGAAGAGTTCACTGATCACAATACAGCTATATTCCTTGTGCTAGCTCTCTTGGATTTTAAATCTGAAGTGTGTCTAACTGATGAAATTACAGACGAGGTAAGCTCAATGGAACTTCCTTGTATAAATAAATGCTTTACTGAGGCTTTGCATTAGGTATACCTTTCTCACTCCAAGTACTACCGTCTACTATTTAATAATGCCTGAGCATTTCCTTTTAACTTATACTAGTAATGTATTTTTTATTTTTAATAGACTCTGATAGACATGAATACGTGTATAAAGTTATAATATTGACAAAACAAATCATACATTAAAACGACAAGTAAAAAATAATATTAATTTTAAAATAACTTCTTTCTTACAGTGCCGTGTTTTCGATCAAAATGAGAGGTACAATATATTTTTAGAAGAAACCATCTTGACTAGTGAGTGTGGTGATAAAATTTTAGGCCTGTGTGATAAATTGAGTTCCAATATAATAGAGTACATATTGAATATCTTAGATAATAATATGTATAAAAGAACTTTCGAGAATTTATGTTTTAATCATATAGTTACTTTAAGAAAAATTATCAAAGGTGAGATAGTGTCTAACAATAATATTATGAACCCTAAAATAGAACTTCTTATAAATAAATTAACTAAATGAATATTTTTACAATGAGAACAAAATAATGAAAATTTACAATACAAATGAAAAATAAAATAAAAAATCGTTAAAAAATTTCAAGATTTATTTACTAACACTCACTCATCTGTTCATAATCTTGCAACAAAGAAAGCATTAATAATATAGAATATGAGACTTTATATACATCACTTTTAAAGTTTATTCTCACATTTATACAAATTGTATATCTTGTAATAACAACCCCTGTTTTGGAAATTAAACAATGTGTAAGAAATTATAAATATTAATATATTTTAGATGTTGTGTTTTTATAACAATAGCTATATATTACAGAAATCTACTAGTATGTACTACTTCAAAATAAAAATCATTAACATGATATGTTACTATGATAATATATTATAACATAATATATTATCATAGTAACATATCATACTATTTTACAGGATCATTTGGTGAACTAAGGAACATCCATTTACGCTGCATTCTAATAACTTACTGAATTGTCATTCTTTATAAGAATTTGGAGCCTAAACTCAGAACACGATATAATTTGAAACTAATAACCTATTCTCCAACTCTCATACCATTTTATTTCTTCTTATCCTATACACTTCATTTGCCACTTGATTATTTTTAAACTTTATTTTTTGGTCCTTTTTCCCTTCTACATTCTGATTCGCTAGTACTTGTTTTATCTCTTTTGCAGTTGTCTGTGTCAGCCTTTGTAATTTACTTCTCAAACCACCTTCTGAAATGTTCTCATCATTATCATTAAAGAGGTCTTTGACTGATACTAGTCTATGTGAATTCCCTACTCTTAACAGTTTTTTTAGGCCTCTGGAAGCTTTTTTCTCTATTAGTCCAAGCACACCCCAATCGTCTGGCCTTTCGCCTTCTAAACCTGCTTCCAGCTGCCACGCAGCATTTCTTACTTCTGATTTTAACCTTTCACATTCTTCATAACTAACATTTCTGCTAACATTCAATGAAGGTGCCAAAGGATTTACAATATATAATGGTAACGCATTAGGTTTCCGTACAGGACGCCCTTCATTTATACATATGGCTTTTTCTTGGAAGTCAAATTGAGCATAATATTCAAAGAATTGTAACAGCAGTGTTTCAAGATTGGATTGATTTTGACTGTAACATTCTTGTGGTAATATATTCATATCGCGCAGAAAGGTGCAGTTGACATTTTCTTCTGCTATTCTCATATCTTGTTTTCCTATAGCAAATAAAAAACATATTAAATAACTAGAAGACACTGACTACGCACGAAAAATTACGTAATACGTTATTTTTTGATGATATACTATATCTATCCATATAAATACAATATATCTCGGAAGATGACTCCAACCTACAGGTCTATTACATATGTTTGAAATAAGTTAAAAAATTCAGCTTCATAAAGATTTGTACCCAACATTCCCAATTGTTGTTGTGAAATTTCACCCGAGACTATCAATATTACCAATGAAAATTTACCTAGTGTTCTTAGAATTTCAGATAGAATCCTTACGAAGCTCAATGTTCTGACCAAGAAATATATAAAAAATTGCCTAAAGGCTATCATTATTAGCATAAAAATTTAAATTTATACCTTCAGAGGTCTATTGTATTTATTCTATTCTACAGTTCCTGCTAATCATTAACTGCCTATTAGCAGCGATTATTTTATCTCATAAGCAAAGAATGATAAAGAATCATTATGACTATGTGAAGGTTACCACCACATATGTGCAATTAAATAAATGTCAATCAATACATTAAATTACGAAATATTTTTTTACTAGAAATCACTATTATTTTCGACATACAAGATCTTAATTGACAATGTCAACAGTATGGATTGAATTTGCATAATACATACTAGCTCTGTTAACCAGATTCTTCAGTGATGGCAGTATAAACCCGTTACTGGTTTTCTGTTGAAGAAAGAATAGGACCATAAGCGTAAGAGGGAAATTCGTGATCCATCGGCCAGGATGCTGATTAGTGAGGCCCACCGCGGCTGCCCAGCGACGCACCAAGAATGCCAGCGGTCTAACACGAGGGTCCAGGGATCCATACATCCAGAGGAGTTCAGACATATATACGCCGGACCTTAAATTGAAATTATTATTTGTAGAATGCAAGGATCAAACTCACAACCATAGGAGGCGAAAAATAGCAGCAATACAAAAGTAGTCAGTTGTGATATGTAAATATCAATTTCTATAATAATTACAAAAATAGAAATAGAAAACTTAACAAGTATTCGAGAATTTTCTAGGTTGGTTTCACTACTCAATAAATATAGTGTCCTGTCCTAGTGGTTGACTACCCTGAATTACAGAACCCAGAAGGGATTTTCTGAATTCAATTCTGACTGACAAAAAAATTACTATATAAATTTATACTGCTGACATTCCAGTGAAAAAAAACTATTAGGAGAGACAGCAGCAGGGCAGTGCTTGCCACATTTAATTCGTTCACCAAGATGTCCACAATGCCTCCAATTATTTTTTTAGTAATCAGTACTGATATTGTACAGTAACTGATTTCTTTATTTTATTAATAATTTTATTGGCAAAAAAACATTGAATAATTTTGTTTAAAATGGTAAGTAATATAAATGACTTACATGTTATTATAGCACAGGTCGCAGTCAACATCGGTAAATTCATGTGCATATTTCACGATAGGCACACGTGCATGCAATATCCGTTGTACTCGTGTCGCCCCAACGACCCTTAACTCCAATAATTCACCCACCAGTTCCATATGCCTCTGCCATGGCCCTCTGCCACCTTCAGACTTCTTATCTTGATATACCAAACGTTTGTTGGCATCACTCTGTAAACATAGGTTTTTTATTTGATTGTATTTTTTCTATTTTACTTATTGGTTCTGAACTGACTAGATAATTTTTATATATTCTATTCTGATTAACTTTTGTTGAATAAAATTTTAATTTTAAATAACTGTATTAGGGTGTAATGTAATGCTATTGTTATAATAGGTATAATAATAATAAAATAGACATATAAATTGTATCAGAGAACCATAATGAGCATGTCAGCTTTTAAACAAAATAAAATGGCATCACTTTATAACCAGTGCCCCTGTTTTTGCATCAGGATTTAAATAGAGAATTATTCATGATTGTGGCATTAGTTCAAGACCATCACAGCATAGTTAATATAGTTGTAGCTATAAATATCTCTAGACACATATATACACATAGTGATTTATGTTAACAGTTCTGAATGAGGTTTTTAAAATTAACACTACTAAATTCAACATTTACTCTTTTAATGTCACAGTATTTAATGTTTTAATAAAGAACATTGGGACTTCTCTGAAAGTACTGCCTTAATAGTATACATATAAAAATATATTTTTTATTAAATTACATAATAATATGTTGGGAGGATTCAAATTAATAGTCCATTACGACTATCATACCTTTAGAGCAATAATGGAATCAATATATAATGGAAAATGGATAATATAATGCAGAATTCTGCAATATGCCTCATATGTATATTGTAGAATTCTGCATTATAATGCCATTATCCCAAAGATAACAATAGGTTTGTGTGTTAATTTATTTGATAGTTTTCAGTGCTAATATTTATACAGGTAGCATGTGTACAACATTCAAACTTTAATATAATATATTACTACTTTCCTGTATAAATATTAGCACACTTAGGCCTTGTCATTCTCTATGTTTTTTAAGGATATTTTTTTTTTAATTATTGTCATTTATGTTGTATATTTATAGTATAACAAAAAAATTATCCAAGTTACCATATTTTTTAATAGCTTACCATTTCATCAGTCAGGTTGTTACTAAGCACAAGATCTAAGTCACAGCCCATTCTACCAAAACCATTCACAGATGAACCAAATGGTCTTACAGCAATATTTGCATATAGACTTTCAAACACTATTTCCAGCTGAAAAAAATAAGATCTTTGATGATTTTTGTCATATCATAACTTTGATAGGCATGTGCAACCCAAGGGCCTTTACCCTTGGGTATATATTAAAAAATATTATTTATTGATTTGCTTCTGCTAGGTATAATATATAGGTATAATAGCATAATTATTTAAACAGCATTCAGAATTAGTTTTTATTAAAAATTGTTAATTTTATATAATAAAATATATTTATGACAATTTATTGTACAATAAGGAATTTTCAGTTTTGTCTTTAATCCAAGATCAACCTAGCTATAACAAAAACACTGTAGAGATATGTATATAGTGCTGTACAAATTCAGATCACTGAATACAGATTGTAATTTTAGATTGACTATAGTACTTTATTTCTGGCACCAGTTTCACAAGATCATTAATAGTATAAATGTACAATGTACATTTATACAAATGTGCAGAATAGAAAATGTACTCTAATTTGAAATTTCCCACTGCTTGTCATTTGTAATTCACATTTCTTACCTTTTGGGTAAAATATCCTAAATAAATTATCTGTTATTGATTATTAAAATAAAAGTGCTCACTTGTCTAGCCACCATGTATCTCAGTCTAATACCCAAATCATTCAACATTGTCCTATCATACAAAAGCTGTATTTGATCAGAGACTGTGGCACAATTTGTAAGCTCTCCAAAAAGCATATCTTCATCAATGGCAGCATTTCCATTTTTTGTTATAAGTCTACTTGATGATGATGCTAACTTATCCTTTTTGACAGGGCTGGCTCGGAACCATAAAAAAGGAGATTGTAATGCCATAATATCATTGTCTTTCTGGTGGGAACTACAGCTCTGCAAGATCTCTTTGAGACTGTCTTCTGTGTTGAATTCAATGAGCATAAAATGCTGAAAAAGAAAAGAATATTTATTTTGAATTCTTTTACAATCATTAAATACTTATCAATGATAAAAAAACAATTATTTAATCTTATCAATATATTTATATCGTCTAAGTTTACCTCTCCGCCAGCATTTTTGTAATGATGTATGCCATTGATAGTGGCATAATTTGAACAGTAGCCATATAATTCACTGAAAGAAGACTCAGAATTTACTTGTATGACCAAACTTCGCCGTGCCTCGTCTCTCCTCTGCAGTACAACTTCGTCAAATGATAAAAATTTCCTTGAAACGTCTGAAAGAAATATAATTATACATAACCTCGAAAGCACCTTCAATCCAAAAACAATTACAACATTACTATGAAACTATTACCTGAAGAATTTCTTGCTAATAAACATTTACATGAAGATATCGGAGAGCGTATAAGTTTTTTTAATGTCTGTGATTTTCCTGTGTTTTTAATAGTTTGAAATAATAAAGACATTTCTATTACGGAATTTGACAGATGGTCATCGGTGAAAATGTGTACTCTGTAGTCTACAGATCAGGTAGACCATCGTTCGATGTTGCCAGTTCCCACTTTGCTACTTAATGCTCTCCAAAGTAACCATCTATCTACAGAAGTCATAGCAGTTTTTTGTTTAAATGCCCTAAATAATTTCTGTGATTAGATGCTTAAAATAACTTCAACATTCACTTGACATTACTATACATTTATATCCTGTATATAGAAGCTGAACTCTATGCTTTACTTCACACCTCCTCTCAGCCAAATAAAAAAAAATACAATTTTACTTTTTGTATAGAAATTTAGGTTATAAATACATTTTATAAACAAAATTAAATTGAAACGCTTTTTAATAAATATTTGTTTTACACAGCATGGCTACAAGAATATTGGGACGCGTAATAATTTCAACAGTAATTAATTCATTGAAGCCAATTCATCTTATTGAAGTTAAACATCAAGCTGTTTGTGCTGCTAATTTTAAATACACTGTTGTTAGGAACTATGCTAAAACGAAAGATAGAGGTAAAGACAAGAGATCTAAAGGTAAAGTGGAAATTAATACTCAGGTCATATCCGAACTAGTACCTGTAGATAAGTTGAAAGAAAGATGCAATGCTGCTATAGAAAAGATGAAAGATGATTTCACTAAAAACTTATCTTTGCGCTCAACAACAGGATCTATAGAATCCCTAATTGTGAAATTTGAAGGAAAGGACTATGAATTACAAGAACTTGCTCAAATAGTACGAAAAAACCCTAAAACAATTGTTATAAACTTTGCTTCATTTCCACAGACTATTCCTGATGCTCTTAAAGCTATTAATGCATCAGGTCTTAATTTAAATCCACAACAAGATGGTACAACTCTTTATGTTCCTGTGCCCAAAGTAACTAAAGAGCACAGAGAAGCTTTGGCTAAAAATGCTAAGGCTTTATATATTAGATGTCGTGATGCTGTAAAAGAAGTACAAAATGATTATATAAAGAAAGTTAAAAGACAAACAGGTGTGTCAGAAGACCTGGTATTTAATGTCACCAAACAAATTACTGCAATGTGTGATGAATTCCAGACTACTGCAAAAAATATTTATGAAGTTAAACATAATGAACTTGTTGGAAAATAATTAATATGAGTGCCATCTTAAACTAATTAATGTTTCTTATGATTATTACTTTAGTTTTTAAGCTTGTTGTGGTTAGATAAATCTGTTGATGTAAATAAAGAATAGGAATATATATACTAATAAAAATGAAAATATTTTAACACATGTTTTATTTGGATTTCTGTTGGTGTCTCATAGAGAGTTAGAAATTTAAAAAATCAAATAATCAACATTCACTCCCACAACTGTTGATATCAACGAGAGAATATTACATAATTGTATTGATACTGAGATTAGGAGAGTTTTATGGTCATATTCACAAAATATTTCATAAAAGAAAAGCATATAGTATTATGCTTTTTTAAAATGTATTGTGAATACTTACTTACTCTGCCTTAGAATGGATGCAATGAAATTATCAGGCATCTCTATTTTTTTTAAAAAGTATGCAGCCCATGTCGCTTTCTGTTTATGTATACGTTTAGAAAGTATTTTAAAAAGCCCGCGATCTGCCGTGTCAACGTTATCGCATGGATTTTAGTTTGCCCGGTATGTAAGTATCTATGGATACAATAATTTTAAAATTAATTAAGCGAGTGATGTTTTGGATGTATGTATAAACAAACATATAAAAAAACCAAATCTCAGGTATAATGTTAGATATGGCTGTATACCTCTTTCCTTTCAATAAAACTTCCGCTTTACTTTGAAAAAAAAAAAAAGTAACAGCTGTTGTTTGTTTGGTTCGCTACTTTCGTCGGAAATACAAATATTATCATATTTTGTTCAAATATATTACTTCTCTGCTCATAATGAATTCAATTAATAAGAAACGAGTGAACAAATATGATAGAGTCATGTCTCGTGTCAATAATCGATTGCGATCTGCCTTAGAATCAACATCTCTAGTTACACGCCACCACATCCCATCATCTTCGCGTCTTGGCGCCAAAACATCATCTAGAAACTTAAGTTCCAGTGTTTTTTGTGAATTGCCTGTTGTTTTAAATGACTATGTACCCGAGAAACCTGTGCAAAAAACGTTTGTAGTGAAACCTCGGAGAACAATCAAATCGTTAGATCCTTCTAAGTCACCCAATCTACCGTTACAAAGATCTGAAGATTTTATTAAAAAACCTTGTAAAATTCTATCACAAAACTCGGCTCCATCAATGTTAATTCAAGATACGGGCGAATGCATCGATACTCATTTCAGGGAATGCTATTCTAGTAGGTCCCATTCAAAATTAAGGGATCTAAAGGTAATCGTAATGAACACTCTTCATAGTTTTAGTGACTTCATAATGAAGTGAATGTAGTATTACTGTTGTAATAATGCTGTTTTTATATGTGTCCCTAGTTTTTTATAATGTTAGCATCCAACTTAGGATATGACTTTATGTATTCGGAATGATATACCTGAGATTACTTTTGAATTTTTGTTTTTAACGTCTATGTGGAATAGCAAACAAGTAATTTATACAATACATATGTCATTACAATATACAATGCAGATATCACAAATATACTTTGCCAAATATATCCCTTCTCCTAAATTGCAGTTCCTGAAGAAGTAAGTGGAATGTATATTGATTCTGTTATACTGTAAAGAGTGTCATTTCTATAGTGTAAAACAGATATATTAACACTATCCTGTTTTAAATTAGTTGAATTTTATTATTTCTCCTTGTATGTTATTATACAAAGCACACATATATTAATATAAGACAAGTAAATCGAAATAGAATTCTGTAGAAAGGCATATGGCCAACATGTTGAATAAAATCCTGTCATAAACAATTGTCCTACTTCATAAATTAAGCCCTTTACCAAATTGGGTGGTCAATATGACAATATTATGGTAAATTCTCTTTATATGAGGATAAACTAGTAGATGAACAGTATGTGATGATATTTAATATTCATAATATTTAATAAATTTCATAAATGTGTAAGTTTGTGAGTGTAGATGGATAGATGGATGGATGGTTGTTTGTTTTCATGCAAAAACTACTGAATGGATTTTAATAAAACTTTACAATAATATAGCATATACATCCGGATAACACATAAGTTATAAACATCACTCTGGTGAAACTACAGGCACAGGTAGTGCTATAATTTTTATCAGGTTGTGTTTTAGTATAGTTGTTTATGTAGCATTTGAACAATAAAATACCCTCGATGTAACTTTATATATTATTGAAGCATATATATATATTAGTTTAGCAGACAGATTGACTTGAATTATAAATTTACATGACTGTAACTGTAAGTTGTACATACAATTATTAAATATGTATTGAGTTACAAAAAAAATCTTATATAATAATCTGGTTTATTAAGAAAGTGAATTTGAGTAAGGGGGATATAAATTATTTGTAATTTATATCACTTGTCTAGTACTCATAACACAAGCTCTGCTTAGATTGTGATTAGATGGCGCTGTGTGAATTGTTCAAGGATTTTATTATTATATATATACACATTATTTAAAAAATATACTTATTTTTAGGACGAAATTGAAGCGTACCAAAGGACTGAAAAAATGTTGAAACTTCGAAGTCATTTGTATAAAAACTGTGGAGTAGTGTTGGATGATGCAGGGCAGATAGCAGAAGATAAAGCTGTGCAGGTGGAGAGTCCAGAAACAGGTGAGCAATGAGACTATTTTTCCCACTTAAGTATTAGCAGAGTTAAATTTTGTTAACACCTTACTGTGTATTTTCAGCAATGAACGACAGATGGCGCTATCTGTCTCTAATTTTGTAAATATGGTGTAGTATCATGAGTATATTTTAAGCAACACATGCCTAGATTATGATCTTATAAAATCGATATTCTTTTATGGATTGAAAATAACTATGAATAATCAAAAATTTTCTTCATGTTCTAATTGTTAGTAAGTACCTTTGAAAGATATTGTTATTTTTCAATACCTTTCATGTAGCCGAAATAGCTCAGTTGGGAGAGCGTTAGACTGAAGATCTAAAGGTCCCTGGTTCGATCCCGGGTTTCGGCAAATCTTTTGGTATAAATTATTCGTCCTTTATTCTATATGAATATTTTAATTTTCGTTTAGATTTTATTATTCAATATTTTATTAGATATAATTTTTGTTTTCAGTTAAATCGCCCATGCAGTCAAGGTATGTATTTTGGAAACTTACCATGTGTTAGTAATTTATACAATCATTGTTGAGATTCAAAATAGCCCTTATTGGATTCTCAGGACATTATAAACAACATATAGGTACAATATATTAACTAAAAATTTCCAAACTCTTTATCATAGTGTAATCGTAAACATTATTAGGTACCTATGATATAATACAAACAAATGGGTTTCTGTGGTGTGTGGTGATCTCTGCCTATTTCATTTGCTTATTGTGAAAAAGACGCATATTTCTAATAATAAGAGTCATGTATACCTAAGTTGTTTATACCAATAATAGTGAGGTATAAAGTTATTTATAACAATTACTGTGATATGCGATCATTATTATGTCCAGTAAATAAAATTTTTACCTATTATTTTGCTTTAAATTTTATGTGAACACTTTTGCAATCGATCGGATTTACTATCATAATTTTCAAGTACTAATTTAATGTCATTTTTGATGTTTTTATGAATACAATTAAATAACTTCTAATACCAACAATACATTAACAACAAACAAAATTGTGTTAGGTATATTCTAACTATATACAAAACAAATAATTCAATCTCAGTACATAATTGAATGTATTAAATTTCAACATTCTCTAGAAGTAGTCAATGAAATTTCCACTTTTTTATGTATTGTTTTATGCTGTTTTTTTTTAAATTTTATAATACAGCAAACTATACAACATCGGAACTCAGCAATCTTCGATCACATAATTTCATTGATTATGAAAGTTCTTAATCACCGAACAATTAAAAAGTTGTATTTTGTTGTGCTTGTGTAATACCAAGTTTGCTTTGTAAGATGTGTTTTGATTGAAGAGTGTGATTACAGGATAAGAGGCAAACTATTTTAGTCTTTCGGATTGGCAACGAATAAGCGGGAGTCACGGATAACGTGATATGTCATAGTGCATTTCATGTATATAAATGACGGTTATCATTAGTGGGGCTTGAGCTTGTTTGTATTCAAATTATATAAAAAAGGAGTTTCCAACATACCTGCATATTTCCACATTCAAAAATCCTGTTTCGTCAATCATCAGATATTTTGTAAGTTCGTTGCATGAACTAACATAACATACCTGATTTTTACTCATTTTTACATGAACATCACGACATTTTCTTCTATCTATCTATATCTAATGCCAACTTTCTCATATTGTACTCAATTAATGACTAAGAATGCCATAATCAGATTTAATCTGTAGGTTTTGCGTATAAATATACACGCATAAGCTTCAGTGGCAGACTAAGGCTAAAGTAGCAACAATGTTACCGACATTGTAATTTCGGGCCTATTTTTTAGACACGATATATAGATATTGTGCCTTTGGTTGTTTTAAAAATTATGGGCCCTAGGAACGTGCCTAGGTTGCCTAGGTCTTAATCCGTCCCTGATAAGCTTTGTACTTATACGCCTTAACACTTATCCTTGTACGAAGAAATACAAAATTTAATTAAATTCTCGTACTATAGTTTCATTTGGCTCTTTAATCTCGTACATAGTATTTTGACAGATTTTCATAGGTCAAAATCTTGTACAAACTTGTATGAGGGTGAAAATATCCTCGTAAGATTGGTATATATGTATAGCCCATGTGTGAGAGCAGCATATCTTACATTTTATTTTATTTCTTTTGTTGGGAAGTATTCAACTATTGTAACCCCAAAAGTCTTATTGAAAATCAGTAGGTCGTGTTAACAATGCCAGATACAGATAGGATAGAATCTGGCCTTTCATTTGAAGTATATTAATTATACACATACTTTTTTTTAACGGATGTTACTGTGAATAATACATATTCACAAAAACCTATATTCAAGCAAATAGAATTCTTTAATTTAGTCGCACCAGAGGTCGCTGGAAATAAACAAAATGACCAACTTAAAGTAGGTAACTTATAATAATAATCATATTTTTTACCACATTGCTTCTTACGGTCATGGACGTTTGTGAGTTGAGGCATTAAACCACATTTAT